CAAACTTGAGACTTGGTGAGACGTGCTAGTGTATCATGTACGGTCATGGTTGGTGTAAGATTGGATGCTCATCTTGTTTTTCTTACTAGACACGTGCATGATATGCCTTGTCGCGACTTGTCGCCAAATCAAGGAATGTGCATGCTGTCGCTCTAATACAGTGGTTGGTGTACACTCGGGACAAATCTGCAGCTTTCAAAATTACCTTCAACATCTCCCAGTGAGAGTTACATTATCATATATTGTTGTCAAATTCTGCATTATCCCAAGGTTTTTGAAACAGATTGCAATTACCCGGGTGCAATTTTGTGAGGTAGAATTGGAACATCTGCTACAGAACACCAGTTGTTATTGGTGGCATACATTTTTGTCTTTGCCTTGTAGTTTTTGTGCATTGTTTTGGTTCTTTAATTTCTCAATCTCATCTAGTTAAACTTACAAATCATGTTTTTTGTTGTTGGAGGTTCGCAATCCATTTCAAAGTCACAACATGAAGGACAAGACATGTTTTACCAGCAAACACACCTATTTGGCGTTCGTTTAGGTTCATGTGGGGAACGACGATCACCCAATGACCGACGCTCACAACTTGGATCTCGCCATTAACAAAAAGCAATATTATGCTTAAATAATTTTTCAGATGTTTTTAATTTGGTAATTTTTCCAATATTTTTCCAAAATTCAATCTCTATATTTCTCTAAAATACTACCGGTTTTATGTTATTTCTGCATTAAACCTGCAGTCAATTCATGTTCCAGGGCCACTTTAATGTAACTCTGCATTATCAGCCAATTTCATCTTAATTGCGTATGCAAATTTTGTGTTTGGACCAATCAAATCGATGGATTAACACTATTAATATACTGGTATAATATTGTAGTCTGGTGACATAGGCTGAAAAAATTATATATTGTGAATGATGGGGTATTTCAATTTAAAAAGTTTTTAATTTTTTTAGCTCCGCTGTCGACTTTGTCGAGCGGAGCTTATCATATGAGTGATTGTCCGTCGTCGTCGTCGTCGTCCGTGTCAATGTTTTACTTTTTCGACTTCTTCTTGAAAACTACAAGCCTGAATGCTTTGATACATGGTGTATATGTACCTTGGGTAGACCTCTCTCAGATTTGTTCATTTCATGATGATATCTTCAATTCTCTAATTTTGGTGAATATTTTTGTCATTTTTAGTAAAAAGTGATATTTTCGACTTCTTGTTGAAAACCGCAAGTGCAATTGCTTTGATATTACATATATAGGTACTACATGTGGACCTCTATCAGATTTGTTCATTTTGTAATGATATCTTTAATTCTCTAATTTTGGTGAATATTTTTGTCATTTTTGGTAAAAAGTGATATTTTCGACTTCTTGTTGAAAACCGCAAGTCCAATTGCTTTGATACTACATATATAGGTACTACAAGTCGACCTCTCTCAGATTTGTTCATTTTGTAATGATATCTTCAATTCTCTAATTTTGGTGAATATTTTTGTAATTTTTGGTAAAAAGTGATATTTTCGACTTCTTGTTGAAAACCGCAAGTGCAATTGCTTTGATATTACATATATAGGTACTACATGTGGACCTCTCTCAGATTTGTTCATTTTGTATGATATCTTCAATTCTCTAATTTTGGTGAATATTTTTGTCATTTTTGGTAAAAAGTGATATTTTCGACTTCTTGTTGAAAACTGTAAGTCCGATTGCTTTGATATTACATATATAGGTACTACATGTGGACCTCTCTCAGATTTGTTCGTTTTGTGATGATATCTTCAATTCTCTAATTAAAATTTATTTTGGTGAATATTTTTGTAATTTTTGGTAAAAAGTGATATTTTCGACTTCTTGTTAAAAACTGTAAGTCCGATTGCTTTGATACAATTCATATTGTTCATTTTCTAATGATGTCTTCAGTTCTTTAATTGAAATGTGCATTGCTAACAGCGGAGCTATCTCAGCCGATAGGCTGCTTGTTTAGAATTAATCATCACATTATCATGAAACCTAGTTTTGGGTTGAAATCTATGCATAATAATTGCTTAATTTGTATAATCATCACATTTCAATGAAATGGTTCATGATGCTATGGGGTAATACACAGACATGATTAATTTAATAATGAGCTTTAATATATCTGCAGCATTACATATAAAAGTTGCATGCTATACACTCATAAGTACAGTATGTGTTGGCACCACACATTATAGAGTTGCTTTCCCAATAGTTTAGATCAGGTCTGTAAATTTGGATCATTTCTGATGATTGGAGTTGAACTAAAATACACTTATGTTCAAACATAACATGTTGTGACTGCTGCAACACAATTTATTTTAACAATCCAGTAATTGTAATGATTCATATAAAGTCAGTAACTCAGTGAGAAATATATTGACCACATTGACACCATCTATTTCCAATAATTATGATTAGTGTGTCTACATCTATAAAAAATTTATGATGATGAATGATGATAAAATACATTTTTGTTTTCTCTTTTCCTTTAACAGATCAGGATTGATAAAGCTAGTTGAGTGTGCCAAAGAAAATGTGGAACAACAGTATGAGGACATTATCTTAGAACAAAAGAGGCAATATTCTAAGAGGTAAAGTTTTGCATTGGTGTATGGGTGGTGGGTATAAGAGCTAAATGTATGTATGCTGAAACCAAGCAATGTATTGGAAGATTTTTACATATGCTAGATGTATACATTCACTGTCACTAATGTGTTGCTGTTTAAAATCGGTCCTAGCACGCACATGGGGGTGTGATGGATTGACAGTATCTCCAATTATTAAACACATTTAAAATAGTGTCATAGATAAAACAATAATGCCAGTAGAAATTTGAACTGCCAGCCACACAATGTGAGAAATCATGTCCCTTTCCAGACGATTTGAGAAACCACACACTTCTGTCATTACATACACTCTGAGAAACCAATTGCAGTACCACATACTTTGAGAAAACATGCCCCTTTCCACATACTTTAAGAAAACATGCCCCTTTCCACATACTTTGAGAAACCATGCCCCTTTCCACATACTTTGAAAAAACATGCCCCTTTCCACATACTTTAAGAAAACATGCCGCTTTCCACATACTTTGAGAAAACATGCCCCTTTCCACATATTTTGAGAAAACATGCTTTATTCCACATACTTTGAGAAAACATGCCCTTTTCCACATACTTTGAGAAAACATGCCCCATTCCACATACTTTGAGAAAACATGCTCCTTTCCACATACATTGAAAAAACATGCACCATTCCACTTACTTTGAGAAACCATGTTTCCACTACTTTGGTAAACATGCCCTTTCCACATAATTTGAGAAAACATACCCCTTTCCATATACTTTGAGAAAACATGCCCCTTTCCACATTCTTTGAGAAAACATGCCCCTTTCCACATTCTTTGAGAAAACATGCCCCTTTCCACATTCTTTGAGAAAACATGCCCCTTTCCACATTCTTTCAGAAAACATGCCTCTTTCCACATACTTTGAGAAAACATGCCCCTTTCCACATATTTTGAGAAAACATGCCTCTTTCTACATACTTTGAGAAAACATGCCCCTTTCCACATACTTTGAGAAAACATGCCTCATTCCACATACTTTGAGAAAACATGCCTCTTTCCACATACTTTGAGAAAACATGCCTCTTTCCACATACTTTGAGAAAACATGCCCCATTCCACATACTTTGAGAAAACATGCCCCATTCCACATACTTTGAGAAAACATGCCTCTTTCCACATACTTTGAGAAAACATGCCTCTTTCCACATACTTTGAGAAAACATGCCCCTTTCCACATACTTTGTGAAAACATGCCTCATTCCACATACTTTGAGAAAACATGCCTCTTTCCACATACTTTGAGAAAACATGCCTCTTTCCACATACTTTGAGAAAACATGCCCCTTTCCACATACTTTGAGAAAACATGCCCCATTCCACATACTTTGAGAAAACATGCCCCTTCCCACATACTTTGAGAAAACATGCACCATTCCACTTACTTTGAGAAACCATGTTTCCACATACTTTGAGAAACCATGTCTATTTCCACATACTTTGAGAAATATGCCCATGCCACATACTTTGTGGCTTTTTGTATGCATGTATTTGCATTGAGAACTATGATAGTACACTAATACAGCCAGTACATTTGAGTTATGATTCATCCTATATAGTAGTGGTAGATTAGCTTCCATGCACTTAGTTGAGTCAGTCCTACAGAATCTTGAAAAACAGTATGAAGATCTAATTGAAGAGCAGAAAACAAACTATAGGACCAGGTATTAGTACAATTAGTATGATAATTCATGTATTACTTCATTAATATAATTATAATGACTTTCCCTATTGATAAATGTTTAATTTTTAATTATTATCACTGTGTAGGTACTCAGTCCTCAGATTCATATTTTTTGTTAATATCGCTGCATATACATTGTTAACATAGATTGTAAATGAAAATTTCATGTTGATAGTGAAGTTCTTGAATACATTAACATACATTCCCCTGTTCCAGCATTTTAATACTAACCCAGATTTAAGTCATTATTATTTGTTGACATTGGATTCAATTGTTAAGTTTAAATATTACCCAACTTTATTATGTTGCCTTTCACATCTTAATCAATTATATTTCATGGTGTTTTGTTTCAGTAAAACTATTAAATTTACATATTGAATATACCGTATTTATCCGGGTATAAGCCCAGGGTCCTGAACATGGAAAATTGACAAAAAGAAGGGGTGGGCGTTTGCCAGGAGATTCCCGGCAAAAAAAACGAAAATTGTCAACACGCAGATCAAACTGCAGCAAGGAATAGAACGGCAAATGAATACATGCAACGGAAATAAATGAACAATATGCAACACTAGAAGTATAACAAAAATAATGTATTGCTTATAATGTGACAAATAAACCAGAAATAATAAAAATCGACAGTGAGGAATCATTTGAATTAGGATTTTCCTGCCGACAAACACGCCCAATACGCGTAAACTTAAAATGAATTAAAATGTCAGGGGTTAAACTGCGTAAAATGATTTCCGGTCTCGACAAATTACGAATCAACCGTCATACAAGATCAATAATAATTTACAAATTTACACAGTAAAAATTATAAAAATTCATAGTTGTTTGAAAAAACTTCTCAGATCTTTATTTGTACGTTCATTGCCATCTTCGTCAAACTCAAAACCCTCAAATGTCCAAGTCGAACAAAATCCCTACAACTTATTCCTGAAGTTCATCGATATCGTCCCACACAGTTTGGACTTTTAATCCACGGATTTTGCAGTCTGTCAGCTTGGCACTTTTCATTCATGTCTAATCATAATAAAGAGACAAGAAAAATGGGGTCGCTCTGCTGCGATTGCACACGATGCTTTTGTTTACAGTCTAGCAATCATCTTTGACCTTTATGCATCTGCTTTACTGATTGGCTAAGAATGACATCACTACTCGTATTTCATCATAAAGGTCAAATCGTGACATTGCTTTCTTATCAGACCCGACGCTTATTAATCACGGTTATCATTCAGCAAGTTCCGACGGTTGGAATGTCTCACTATATGGATATTGCGGTGGACTTGAAATAGGAAGTTTTTTTTTTATCCAACGACAGAAGAATAGTTTTCATGACAGAAATGCAATAGCAGTGATTATAGATGTTAAAAAAGTTGTCAGTCTTCGGCGTGACATTGCAAAATTGCTGTCCCCGGTTATGGATTCGCAAGCTGCTACAACATATTTATAAAGCCAAAATAACGTGATTTCAACCATTCTCTCAGGTACGGGTTGCTACAATATTGCAACATTGTTTTCATTGTCGACGACGCTAAAGCCAAACGAGTGCGACACTTGCTTAGCAGCTCTCCTTATACGATTGGCTTGAATCGTTTCTAAGGAAGCACAAACCAAACGGCCACGACATGTTTCAAAAAGAAAACTATCGTTTCTGCTTTAATATTTATTTTTATAGACTTGCTGACTGTTATGATTCTGAAAAAATCAGCGGTGAACGCACTGCCCTGAAGGCAGAAAGCTGTCACAGCTATTTTGCGTTCACTCTTTGTTTTACACAATTAACAATTTTTATAAGTATCACGACAGACTTCAAGAAAGTCAACTGTTAATACAACCACAGTCAACGAATAGAAAATAGTTTTTTTTGTTTTGGGTAAAAAAAGACGCCCTGGGCGTGTGCCCGGATATGATCTTTATTGTGTCAAAAGTGTGGGGGGGGGGGGCATTTGTCCAGGCATGGGCTCTTACCCGGATAAGTAGGGTATAACTGTAATGGAAAATAATATAAAGATAAATAAATAAATTGAATTGATTATTATACTGTACATTTTTGTATACATTTATATTGATATATATCTTTAGTACTCATCAGACTCGGGTTTTGGGTTTGCAATTTTTGTACTTCTTTGTGTTCGATATCATTTCTTGAACATTCCTGTTTCTGTTCAAAGGTGATACAAAATACATAACTGGTTACCCCGGTTACTGATGCATGACTTTCTGTTTTGTTACTCAATTAAAAATGGCTGTTGGTTTTATTTTCATGTATTCTTAACTATTTCTAAAACATATCTTGACTGATTTTGTGTAAAGTAGTGTTCAGGTCTCGTACCACTAATTGAAACTCCATAGACGACAATGTTAACATATGACGAGATTGCTATATGAAAATAATGAAGAAAGTTGAAAATATGGCTCAAAAATGGGAAATCAACATGCTAGTAATCAGCCACATGAAAAAAAACTAACATGTTGGCCAGCTCAAACTCTTGCAAATCTCAGGTAAACAAGACACATCTACTGTATTTGGATTGCACCTAGGGAAATCACTGATTACAGAAAAAATACCAAGATTAGAGCATCCAAATACACACAGAATAAACTCACAGGTACACAGTCACTAAGTAGTAAACAACAGACCACATGTTGGTCTCACCTTTGACCTAGGTGATCACACCCTCAAACAGGGAGCACCTGAGAAAAAAAATATTTAAAAAATTCCGTTCTTGCAAGGCATTTAAATTGAGGGCTATAAGTGGTCATTGGTTGGTTAGTGGTATGAGACCTACGACAAGAAATATTGTATCTCTTTGGAGAATAATGAATTTGGCTTTAGGATGGAGAGCATAACATTGTTGCCCGAACTTGTATTTGTACGTTGTATTTGTTTGTGTGAGATTCAGTTTTGTGTAACTACTTTTTAATACTGTTTCTCTACTGTGGACAAATATTTTGTGTATGAATACATCTTACCATATATGGCATATATAATGTCCAGTATTACCGGTACGTAGAATGAGGGTGCTTATTTAATTTTTGGCTCATTATTATTTCATGAATATTAAATCTCTGAAAGCTATTTTCAGCAACTTGGGAGTACCCTGTCCTCAGGGACAGGTAATTTGTTCATTTACCCTCAACTGCTAAACTCTGCCTGTCTGGGACAAGTGGACAGGTCTTAAATTTGACCACTGTAACCATGTTAGTTGTAAACCAATATAAACTCAAGAGGGTGCTGTATTATTTTGCGAGGAATAATTCTTGTTTTTGTTCCTTAATAGTTGGAGTAAAGTTTTAACCAACATATTGGAAGTTCACAAACCAGTATCATCACAGAGAGCCACTCCTGAAATTGGTGGCAAACTTAAGGACAGAGACCGACAGAATATCAAGGATAAATTCAAGGTAAGTACTTAAAATGAATCTACACACATATAAATACCCAGCTCATGTGGAAATGAGAACTTGAGACTTGGTGAGACGTGCTAGTGTATCATGTACGGTCATGGTTGGTGTAAGATTGGATGCTCATCTTGTTTTTCTTACTAGACACGTGCATGATATGCCTTGTCGCGACTTGTCGCCAAATCAAGGAATGTGCATGCTGTCGCTCTAATACAGTGGTTGGTGTACACTCGGGACAAATCTGCAGCTTTCAAAATTACCTTCAACATCTCCCAGTGAGAGTTACATTATCATATATTGTTGTCAAATTCTGCATTATCCCAAGGTTTTTGAAACAGATTGCAATTTTTTTTTTTTTTTTTTTTTTTTTTTTTTTTTTTTTTTTTATGTTACTGCGATTTTAATATCAAATTACTTGCACAAACTCATGCATTGTACATTAACAAATTACAACTTGTACATTTAATTAATAGTTTCGGAGTGAGTGAGTATTCATTGGGATATCCAATTAATACCCTAGAGGGACTGACAACAAAGCTATGTCAACACCAATGTTATACTCTCTCCTGTCAAACATGTCTGCCAGGTCAGGTTATAATATAATATAATGTATATATTTTATTCTGTTGTTACGAGTGAAAATAACAAAACTGCCTAAAAGTAAACAATGACCTGTTAAACTTTGTATCATTATAACAAGCGGATATTTCATCATATTTAGAACCGATATAGCCTAGTATACACACTATACATTGACAAATGTGAATTTATAATACTTATCATCATCAAACATTTACAAACACATGAACAAGTAGCAACTGAAACTGTTTCAGGTGTTAAATCTAATATGCCAGTCGTATGCATTAATGTATTAACTGTACTGTAGATTAAACCCACGTCTTTTGTCTCGGACAGGAGTTGTATGTCCCTGCTTTCAAGGTCTATGTTTTGAAGAGTATATAAGAATATTCACACTAAAATTAATATGACAATTGTAATATATCATTCAATAAATCCTAGTAGTATGTTATAAGTGGAAGCACAAATTATGCAATGTTTCTAGGTGAAAAAACAAACAAACAGATTAGTTCAATCACCCCCATCGCCGTTATTACCGAAACGACGATTTCTACGCTCGGCAAGTTTGTCTTGTAAATCCTGTTCAGCCCTTGCTTTGTTCACTCCCTGGACTTTATTAAACTGTCTCTTGTCTGCTTCGTGCTGCTCTTTTATTTTCGCGATATCATCGTCAACAGCACCCCCTCTAGCCTTGCCAGCCAAGCCTTTGAATTTTACGGCAGCATCGCCAGACTTCGGCGATGGAAGGGAAAGCACAGATTCCTCCGCAAGACCTTTCTTCTTTATTGGTATTTCTTCGCGATGGTATCCTTTGTAAACGTTAGCACCCCAGTTACGTTTTGGTGACTCTTCCGGTTCTGGAGGAGGCGGTCTTGGTTTGCTTTCACAACAGTTCCTACAACAGCTTTTTATAGCGAGGATAAATCGTCGCCAACAGGCAGCACAGCATCCCGTTCCGTCCCCCAAACCCGCACAGAGTGCAGTCCTACAACCGACTAGCGATCCACAGCAACATGAGTAAATAAGTGCACTCAAACCTATCAATGCAGCTAAACCAAGTAACGAGCATATCGCAATTGTCGCAATACCGGCTGCTGAGAACCACCAATCATCAATTGGCTCCGTTACATTTTCGATGAAATTCATGGGGTAATCCGACAACCCTGACAATGCGGATGACGGAGTGCCTTCGTCATTACCGGAAAACACGGCAAACAAATATTGTTGAGATATAAAGTTCTTAGTGTTTGATAGTCCAGATTCGACATCTGCAGTGTTATCAGCTACTCCATACACATAAACTATAATATTCGATGACTGGAGTAGACGTCGCTTAGCCGATACTGTCACTACATCACCAACAGTTAACACATGGGATATTCCACATCTACCAGTTGGATAGTCTGCTCGAATAAGTGTTGTCAGTGGTTCCAGAAAATTCTCTTCATCATCCAAAATATCTTGCTTAGTTCGTCCTGTCAAATGTATGGCAACTAGGTTCAGGTAAGGGTTGAAAGTGTCTATTCTAGCGTTGATAACCTCTGAAATTAATGGTGGGTTCCCATCATCAGTTCCTGTAACTGTGAATGCATACTTAGTGTATACTGCAGGTCTAACTCCAGTGGACAGACTCACGTCACCTGTACCTGGGTTGACACTGAAGGTACTAGACGAATCATGAATGCTGTATTGCACAACAGTGTCTAGATCTGCATCCGT